TTAAGCTCCCTTATCAAGTCTGCCTCATTGCACAACACTAAATCCAGTATGAGATAGTAGGAACTGCCGATGCTGGAGTCTGAGATAAAAAGGTATGGAGCTGGAGGAACACAGCTGGCCAGACAGCATCAGAGGAGCAGGAAAGTTGACGTTTTGGGTCTTCTTTATATTACTGTGATAGAAGGCAGAAGACGGACAGGTCAAGGAGGCGGGGATGAAACTAGTAAAGGTGAGTGTAGGTAGGAAGTGGGGATGGGGGTTGGTCAGTGAGGAGGGAGGGGCGGATAGGTGGGAGAGAAGACGGACAGATCAAGGAGGCGGGGATGAGAAGGGGAGCTGGTCTTGGGATGAGGCTGGAGACGGTGGGGAGATTTTGAAGCTAGTAAAGTCCACATTGAGACCATTGGGTTGTAGGCTTTCAAGGCGGAATATGAAGTGCTGTTCCTGCAGTTTCCGGGTGGCATCGTTGTGACACTGGAGGAGGCACAGGATGGACATGTCGTCCAAGGAATTGGAGGGGGAGTTGAAGTGGTTCGCGGTGGGAGGTGTTGTCGTTTGTTGTGAACCGAGAGTAAGTGCTCCACAAAGCTGTCTGCAAGTCTCCGCTTGGTCTCCCCGATGTGGAGGAGGCCACGTAGGGAACAGCGGACACAATAGATCACATTAGCAGATGTGCAGGTGAACATCTGTTTAATGTGGAAGGTTTTCTTGGGGCCTGGGATGGAGGTGAGGGGAGAGGTGTAGGGACAGGTGTAGCACCTGCTGCGGTTACAGGGAGAGGCGCCAGGGGTGGTGGGGCTAGTGGGGAGCGTGGAGCGGACGAGGGAGTTGTGGAGAGAGCGGTCCTTCCGGAAGGCAGATAAGGGTGGGAAGAGAAATATATCCTTCATAGTGGGGTCAGATCCATTATTGCCTGTTCTCTTGTGGGCTCCACCACAAGTTGCTCCAAAAAGCCATCTCGTAGACATTCCACAAACTCTTTTTCTTGCAATCCACTACCAACATGATATTCCCAGTCCACCTGCATATTGAAATCCCCCATGATCACTGTGCCTTTGCCTTTCTTACACACCTTTTGTATCTCCTGGTGCATCCTGCGCCCCAGCACCTGACTACTGTTTCGAGGCCTGTACACAACTCCAACTACGGTTTTTTGACTTTTGTGGTTCGTCAATTCTACCCACACAGATTCTACACTATCTGACCCTACTTCGTTTCTTCCTATTGATTTAATTTCATTTCTTACTAATAAGGCAACCTCACCCTCTCGGCCCACCTGCATACCTTTTCGATAGGATGTATATCCTTGGATATTCAGTTCCCAATCCTGATCCCCTTGCAGCCACGTCTCTGTTACGTCCACCACGTCATGCCTGCCAATTTCGATCTGTGCCATAAATTCATTTACCTTATTCCTTATACTGTGTGCATTCAGCTATAACACCTTCAGTCCTGTATTAACCCTCCCTCTTCCCTGGTTAAATTAAAACATAAATTCATTTGATTTGGGAGAAAGATAGCCATAAGAAAAGAGATCCTTTTCACAATCCATCTCATTGTGGCTATTCAAGGGGTGGGTGAATAAAGAAGAGGAGCCAGTCAAAACCTTTTCATCTGAGTGCTTAATGCTTTGGGAAATCTCATCTGCAAGTGTAACAAACTGAGAAGTATCCCCTGGGAGACGGGTCACCAAAATCGTGAAGTAGCTCTTTGTTAAATTCATACCCTGGGAAAATATTAATTTATTAAAGGACTCAAGAAATCATCATTTGAGTCATTTCTGCTGCAACCTGGAAAAGTGAAATGATTACCAACTTGTAGATTTGATAGGTAAAAAGAATTACTATGTTCTGTGGATAACATTCTGTTGTAGGATCTTGGGAAATTCATACAATGTAATGGCTTCGAAAAGCTTTCCATAGGACTCCATGATACATCAGTGCATAAATAAATTGAGAGGAACTCATGTCTGATTATGGATGTGTTTTCTGTCACATAAAAGTTACATTTTCCTGACACTACCACAATTTTGTTGAAAATAGGTGACATACCAACAAATTCCTAGTCATGTAGTCTGACAAAAGCTGTGAACGTAGCACAAGTTGAATAGTTTCTGTTATAAAATCTTCTATAGTACAAATGTCAACAAGGAAATCAGTGACAGGAATGCTCAATGTACAATATTGTCTTTATTTTCATTATTTTATCAAAGAACAAAATAACTCTATGACTATTAAAACTGATTTCAGATCAGCCTTTCCTCTGACTAAATAATTAAATAAATAAATAGTGCTCCACTGTAGCCTATTGTTTATGGTAACCTTCTGCCTACGATTAGCCTAAAGGATTCTACTGCAATGATGAAAAGGCATGATGACAATTAAAGGGGAAGGAAGAAAGATAGAAATGAACCTTAAAAGTATATAATTCAATTGTTGTGATCTGGTAGTGTAGTGGTTTAGACACTCCCTCCATGCTGCAGTGGTTGCTGGCTCAGTTTCCAGTTGTGGTCAACACACAAATCTGTGAGCCACATGTATCGTGTGTTTTCAGAATTCTTAGAAAGACCACTAGATACGTTATGTTTATTAATGAGTTGCCTTTTCTCCTTTTCTTTTAAATTCAGTTCTAGAAAACATTATATATCAATTGAATCTTCTTGTCTCATTTGCCAAAAAAGCAGTGTATGTCAGCAAATACTTTACATTTGTCATTTGGAATGCGACATAATCTGTTTCCTTGACATTATACCATTACATTGCAATCAAAAACGAAAATATGTCACTTTTTAAAAGGTAATAAACACATTAGAAAATGTAAAAACTTAATATCAAAATTTTATGCTTCAGGATTTAGGTTTGATGTTGTTCATTCTCTTAGCTCTTCCAACATGCAGGATAATCATCTATTTTAATGAATGTTGTAACTGCATCATTGCGAACACTTAAATATAGCTGTTAAGAAGAAGCTGCTCTATTATTTGTCTTCAACAAAACCAAACCTCACATAATTCTTAATGTGCATTTCTCCAAGTAGAGTCCAACAGGATCTGCTGTGGAAAATATGGACAAATATAAGTTTCAGGTCTCTTTATTGAGTGTCAGATCAACACGGATACTTTTTATATTATAATGGATTTATCTGGTAACCATTCACTCAATCATCACAAGGAGGCCTGAATTCTCAATTCTTTTGGGTCTATTTTCAAAAGCAAAAATCCAAAATAATGATTTCCAAAGCAAAAACATAACGTGTCCACTTTATCATAACAAAGCATAAATGGCTGCTGTATTAATCTGAAAAGAAATATCTTCACTCGCATTGCCAACTTGATTTTGGTGGAGCATTTAGTAAGATATCGCTATTGTGTTGATAGATGGGTAAGACCTTAGGCCAGCTTCTCTTTAACAGCTGTTTTAAATGTACAGTTACAATCAATAAAAATCATCATGTCTCAATAATGGAAAGGAAATTATGTGGATTTGAAGGGTTCCTTTATTTATCAGTGGACTATTACCCTTCCAAGGTTATAATTTTTGTACCAGATCTTGTAAGGAATTTCCACAGGAAGAAGAAAGCAATGTCTCTATGTGAAAGATGTATTTATGTGATAATTCTTCTGACCAGGAGGCTTGCACACTGGGACTGTATATTAGGAATTCAACACACAGTTCCCTGTGTTTTTCCCTTCTCTGAAATGAATGGGTGGAAAATTTGGAGAAGCAATTGCCCAAATTCCCAAAATGTGGTTCAAACTAGATGCTGGGTAATCGAAGTTGTAAAAATGATGTCCAATCTGATCTAATTCCAAGAACTTCTTCAGTTGATCCCTACAAAAGGAATTCCATCGCAGCGCACAAAATGCAAATGTCAGATATCAGAGGCAAGAAAACATACCATAATTATGTTACTCTTAATATTTCATATTACATTAGTAAGAAAATTAGGAAAATAAGGAGTTCATGAGAAAATGTTGGTGGGTTGCATAAATAAAAACCCAGAGAGGATTTTTTTAAATATACAGAGCAAGAGAATAACCAGGGAAAGAACAGGGCCCACTAAAGACCATAGAGGTAACACATGTGTGGACCCAAAAGACGTAGGCACAGTCCTCAATGAATCCTATGCATTGGTATTCACAATGGAAAAGGACAACATAAATATTGACATCACATTGGACAACTGTGAAACATTAGAAGAAATTAACAGAGAGAGAGAGGAGCTCCGAGGAGGTTTATAGCAGCCTTAAAAGTGAATAAATCTGAAGGCCCAGATGAGATGTATCCAGGCTTTTGATGGAGACATGGAAGGAGATACCATGGGCCCTGGCAGTGAATCCTAAATCTCTGGCAATAGACGAGGTGCCAGAGGACTGGAGGACTACTAACATTGCCCCATTATTTGAAAGAAAAGAAGGTAGGGATAGATCAGGAAACTCAGGCCAATCCAACCTCAATAGTGGTGAAGTTGTTAGAAAGAATTCTGAGCAGCAATACAGCTCTGCACTTGGAAAGAAAGGGTTTAATCAGGGATGGTCAGCTTGGATTTGTTCAGGAAAGATTGTTTTTAACAAATCTGATTGAATGTTTTGAGGAGCTAACCAAAACTGTTGATTAGAATGATGTATTTAATGTGGTCTACATGGACTTTGGCAAGGTTTTAATAAGGTCCTTTATGGCAGACTAGTCAGGAAAGTAAGAGATATGGGATCCAAAGCAGAGTGGAACATTAGATTGGCTTAAGAGGCAGGAAGCAGAGGGTGATAGTAAAGGGATGATTCCTTGACTGGATGTCAGCTTCCGGTGAGGTCCTGCAGGGACCTTCATGATTGTGATGCATATTAATTATTTGGGTCTAAATATAGGGTATACGATCAAGAATTCTCATTATATTTAAGCAGTATTTACTATATAAGACCATAAGACTTAAAGACATAGCAGCAGAAATTAGACATTTGGCCCGTTGAGTCTGCTCTGCCGTTCAATCATGGCTGATAAGTTTCTCAACCCCATTTTCCCACCTTCTCACCATAACCTTTGATCCCCTTAACAATCAAGAACCTATCTATCTCTGTCTTAAGTATACTCAATGACCTCTATTGCAGTATTCACTTGAGTTTCCATAACCTCCAGGGTTGTGGGCCAGAAGCTGGAAAATGCAATTTGTATAGTCAGACCTTTGTTGACTGGTGCAGCCACAATGGGCTGACTGGCCTGCTTCTGTGCTATAAACATCTAAGAGTTTATGAGCTGCTCTGAGGACCTAGTCAGCTGGTGCACAAATATGATTTGATGGTGAGGCAAAACAAGAAAAGAAGTATTTAGGTTTACTACAACGATATGCACTAAATTAGGATATCTCTTGCTGGAACCAATGAAGGTTATCAAACTGGCTTGTACATTCCTAGAATGCAGACGATAAAATTTCATCAATCTTCTCAACGGCAATCCGGTGATCTAATCAGAAAATATGTGAATGAAATTGTCGGTCAAAAGCAAATGATATTTGTCTGTGATGATTACTGCATATTGACTAACTGAACAACCAAGAATTTAGGCTCAGATATATTACTCAGGGGATGTGTTGAAGCATTGACAGTTCCTGCAGAACCATGTTCTCTGTGTAATCTGTAAGGGAAAGAGGAGAAAACTGCGAAGAAAATAAAACCAGTTCCCACACGGAATGTGAAAAATTGGGTAACAATTCTGTTCAAGTTTCAATTCTTTGAACAGAAATACAAAGTTTAGCTAAAATGTATTGTCCTATGTGTACGAGACAATAACTTTATTAAAGAAACTGGGAAGGTGATCAAATGATTGTTTCCCACTATGTGATGTAGAAAACATCTTTTGTAGAGCAATTCAAGCAAACAACAGATTAAACATCTGACACACTGGCTAGAATTGCCTTGGAGGAGACAAGTTAAATAATCATGGGACGCCAGCAACACAGGGTTAAATTCTAGAACATATCTACTGTCTGACTTGTCAAAAACTCTTCTTCGTACCAAAATATACTATTCCCAAACAACAAAAATAAACAAACCACTTTACAATAACAAAGTATGAAGGGAATGCAGCATCAATATTCATCTTAATAGAAATATCTTTTACAAGTATTTAGAACAAAATACATTTGACGACTACTTGTACTTATCTACTCACACTGCCAAAGAGGCTTAATGCAACTTACATAGTGTGTTACAATGAGAAAGGGATGGATACAGTTACTATTTTTGACTTGCTCTACCAAAATGAATCTATTCTTCAACAAAATAGTTGGGGCCATTTTCAGAAAGTTAAATAGCTGTGCTGTGATATTATTGCTACTTTAATGACAAACATAAGCATTTATTTTCGAGATAATTTTCAATTAAGGATCAGTATCAAGCTAACTTTACAATAATTTACTTTGTGGAATCTTGCTGTTTCTGTAATATAAGCATGCTTTAAAAATTACATTTAGAATTAATCATTTGAAGAGCAACTAAAGACTCATTTTGTTAGAGCAGCTTTACATTTCGTGCATTTATATATACTTTTCGAGCCTGTCTATTGTTGTGAAGTGTAGTTATAGAAAATACTTGCTTTGTGTCTGACCCAAAGTGCTTCCAGATAAACATTTGCATGTTTAGCCACTCATTTGATAATCAGGCTTGAATGAACATAATGTATTTGATATGGGTTAGTACTCCATAAATAACATCTTCTCACAAAGATCATACAACATTGTACAACTGCATTGCATCTCGTGCATCAGGATACATCACAAGATATTTTGCCATTGCCGGCTGTATTCTCTCCAATTGCTTCAATCTTTACTGGCATGGGAACTCCTTATGCCAGAAAAATAATTTGAATATCAAAGGCTTGTTCGAAGTTTTACAAGCAGATGTCTGTGAGTTTACTGCCTGAGCGCTGCTAATGTTCATTATTAAGACTTCCACATCTAATAGAGTGTTGCCATGCTTGGAATGAAATGCAGTGTTGAATTAATACCAACACTCGTTACTGTGAAAGCGTGTCTTCACTGATTCTATTCCGATATTAGAGAGATATCCTGCCTCACCACTATTGGTAGAAAATGGGCTGAAGGATGTTTCCGTCTTGTTTTGTGCCCTCTCCGTGGAGACCCTTTTCCATTTAAAGCCACAAACATTTGTCGTTCATTGTGCTTCCACTTCATGGAAGCATAGGTGTTGTAACCATTCTCTTCTATTCTTTCTTTCAGTTTGCAGTCATTATTGAAATCTTTCTGTAAAACAAAATTTAAACAATGTTGCAGACATTAAACTTGTAGAATTGCACATTCATCCTTAATATTCTGCCAATTGTGATCATGGATCTGATTATCATCAAGGTTTTCAATTGTCGTGAAGTCTTGGTTTAGAGTTCCAAAATTAATAAATGTTTTTATTGTGAATTGAATGATTAAAATATTAACGTATTTATGACATTCCTCTGATTAAAAGAACATTAACTACTTATTTGCTCAAACACAAATAATCCTCTGCTGCCAACTAGTGGGTCAGAAGTTCATCAGCAATGTTGAGGGTAGGCAATGGGCTGTGGACCCAGAGCTTGGCAAACTTTTGAAGTCGGTGTGAAGAGGTTGACTATGATCATGTGGTCAGTAAGGAGATGTGACATGCAGTGTCTGACCAATTAGGTATCTAGGATGGCCTTTTAAGCTGCTCATGCCTCCTTGATAATGATGCTTCTCATGCCAGTGAGTGCCACCCTCAGTGTAGGTCTTCTACCACTCATGCATTCAGCAGCGTGATCACTAACCCTGTCACTGGATGCTCACCCTGACCCTCATACTGGCCATTCCATATCTATTCAACTCAATTGTCCCCGTACTATCCAATCAATGCCTCTCAGACCATAACTTTGTGAAGTCCTTTTGGTCACCTACAAAAGGCCACGTTGCTTCAACATCGCCAGCTTTCACTGATCAAGAATCTTAAGGCCTACGATCCCAGAAAAATTCCAAAAGATGCAATTGTAAGTGTTCTGGGCATGCCTTAACTGTCTCCTTAACAATTTTAATTGGTTTCCCATTCACACATGCAGGTTCAGCAATGCCTTCCTGCCATTGTTATATTCTTACATCAGTTTCACTGTCGGGATTCTGACTCATCAGCTGCCATGTAATTCTATTGTTCCTCCTACTATAAATCCTGCTTTGACAGGCTTCATTACACTCCATCCTTCCATGTGCCTAGACCGTGTCAGTATTATATTGGTTGCAGGTTTGTCAGATTAGTTGTTAATCGCTGGGTTTTGTGGAGTTGAGGTATTCCAATGTGGATCTGGGTCAGGCCAAAAACTATTGGAAACCAGAACAACTTGTTTGAATTTATCCTATTCTCCCACTGACTATCCCCATTCAGGTGGTCTTCTCATGCTCTTCCATTCTTTGCATTATGAATGTATTGAAATCAAGATTCATGGCTCCCTGTCCTCCCCTATCACATGGTTACCTGGGACTCCAAAACAATCGAATATTTCACCTCACTCCATTCTTAAAAACTCAAGCTTGGTTTGAAGTAAACATTACATATTTATATCACTTTGCCTCCTATTTCCATTCCAAATTTGGTAGAGTTTCCTACGATGAAATACAGTATTAAGTAAATGATAAATATTTATACACATATTACTGAGTGGATGTCTTGGTAGAAGATGTCTTGGTACAATATGACATTTAGCTCAAAAACTGTTTTTGACCTTAGGTTGCTTGACAATTTTGAGGTAGGTATTTTAAAAACATACTTTGAAAGCCTTCACTTGTCCCGATTCCCTATATTTGTATGCTTAGAACAGTAGATTTTATTATTTATTTATAAATTCATTATAGAAACACTTCAGTGTGGAAGCAGGCCATTTGACCCATTGAGTCCACACCACCTCTCCAAAGAGTATCCCACTCAGAGCCACCCGCCAACCTTATCCCCATAACTCACATTTCCCGTAGCTAGTCCACCTAGCCTGCACATCTTTGAACGGTGAGAGGAAACTGGAGAACCCTGAAGAAACCACACAGACATAGGAGAATGTGCAAACTCAACACAGACAGTTGTCCAAGGGTGGATTTTGCTAACCACTGAGCCACCATGCAGTGAAATTATATGATATATAATTAAATGAAAACAAAATAAAACAAAATTCAGTTGGTACTAGAGGTTGTGCTCCACATTATTTTTATTCAATTTGGCCTTGTGAATGAATTGTTTTCAGATTGCTTTTTCATTGCTGGAAGTTATCTTTGCAACTGCTCCCCTGAGAGGCTTAGTTACAGGAATAGAGTGTAACTATTCTCAAGATACAACAATATCATTTAATGGGTATAGGAATCAGAGAAACTATCATGGGCAGAACAATCCAGCCAATTTGTGTCTATCATTGAATAGCAGGGAGTCCCTGGATGGTGAAAACAAATCTGTTGCACGGATCTACAAACAATAATTAGAATACTTGTACTACTGTTCGTTACAGTGTCAAAACTATCCCAGTTCCACGGACCTGTTGAATTACACTTTGCTAGAAAAGATTTTAATTTTTACATTAATTGTATTCTGATCTTGTTTATAAGTACCTGTATATTCATCTTATATTTAAATCATTTAGTATGACAAACATTGCCCATGAATTTTGAGGAAGGATTTTGCACTTTAGGTATCTGAACAAGAGTTCAGCAGCCGATCTTTTTACATGGATCTCCATCCCCTCCATTCCCATAAAGCCATCAAGCTCATTGCCTCATGTAACTGATGACATAGATTCTGATTTCGCACTCCCCCTTTGAAATATTTTCAGGTTTAATTCTAACTCCTCTTTCAGTCTACCCAAGAAACCATCTATAGCTATATATACTGGCCAGCTTTCTCCATTCCTGTAATGCCAGATGATTGCTGATTTCATGGCCCCTCTTCTCCACCATTGGAGGCCTTCATTTCGATTTCTATTCTATAAAATGGACCTTGTTACACAGTCAAAGTGACATTATTGAGGAACAAAGTCTGAGATATATCCAATCACAACTAAGGTAGAGCTACTTTCCAGATGTCCCTGGCAGCAGCTTATAATGGGTATTAGATTGCTAATGTCTATCACCCAGGCGTCTAACGTCCTTCCATGGGTCAGCTCACATAAATGGGTGGTAAGTGGGTCAGGCCAGCCCTGCTCAGGTTTCTTCATTTTCTGACAGGTGAAGGCAAGCTTTAAGAGAATAGTCAATTCAGAAAACCTCACATGGAGCCAAAAGAGTATCGGGAGGGCTCTTTTGACTCAATAATCCTTGTGATGGTGACTTCCCACCTCCCACCATCTTGCTACCTATTCCAACGTCTCTTCTGAATAAAATGGAAGCTGAAGGCGAAAAGTCTTGGTACCTCACATAGACAATGATAATGAGTCCATAATCAATTTTGGGTGGGCCTTGAGCTTCCTGACTGGTTTTTAAGCTGCTAACATGCTCCCACTATTTTGCTTTGTAAAGATTCCCAAAATCATTCCCTAGATTTCTCCAAATTCATACCTTTATAGATTTTGACCAGTTCCTTGCCTTTGTAAATATTTCAAAAAGTTCCTTTCTACCAGTAACCTTTAGTAAGTTGTAAAACAGAAACAGAAAATGCTGCAAGCACTCAGCAGATCAGGCAGCATCCCTGGAAAAAGAAACAGTTTAAACCTTTCAGTTTGATGAACTTCATTGACATAAAAAGACATTTCTGTCTTTACAGCTGCGGTCAGTTACTGAAAATTTCCAACATTTATAGATTTCACTTCAAATTTTCAGCATCCTCAATATTTTACCTTTATTTTACACATGTTTGGGACTTTAGCTGAAGCTTCTTCTGAGCAAACAGTGGAAACAGATCTAAAGAGATCCTTTCAAAAGCTGCTTTTATTTTGAAAATCTACCACACATCTATAACAATAATTTGGGCTCAATTTTGAGCAATGGCATATCTGTAATCCTTCACTTAATTATTTTTAATCAGCCTGTTCAGACCCGCTATGACACACCTCTGGAACAGGTAGAACTTGAACCTGGGCCTTCTTGCTGAGAGGCAGGGATGCTTCCACTGTGCCACAAAAGACCCCTAAGATCCTTATTCTATGCTGAGTTAGCTCGGTGGCATTTCAAGTGTCATAATTGGCCTTAATCCCTCTAGATTAGACAGAAGGGTGAATCAGCTATGGTTCGTGTACCTGATTGTTGAATTGAATGAAAGCATATGAGTTGGGAGAAGATTGGGCTGAACTTTGACACTGTCACTGTTGAAAAGCCTTTTCGGAAAAATGTATCTTTAAATGAGTGTGAGTTACCAGGTGGAGCCACACGGTAATTGTAGATTTGTACAAAAACAAAAGTTGCTGGAAAAGCTCAGCAGGTCTGACAGCATCCGTGAAGAGAAAATCAGAGTTAATGTTTCGGGTCTGGTGACCCCTCAGTTCTGAGGAACTTGCGTTCTGAGGAAGGATCACCAGACCCGAAACATTAACTCTGATTTTATCTTCACAGATGCTGCCAGACCTGCTGAGCTTTTCCAGCAACTTCTGCTTTTGTTCCTGATTTACAGCATTCGCAGTTCTCTTCTGTAGATTTGTACCCTGATGTAAGCTGGTAATTTAACAATAGATGAGGAGATGAATTGGACGAAAAGAAAAGTACTACAGAATTCATAAGAGGAATAAAGTTAATGCAGTAATTCATCAACAATTAGGTTCAATTAAATCTAATCTAATCAACTCAAGCAACTCAGCAGTAATCTGACAGTTGATATGTTCTGTGACTTAAGCTTTGGCCTATTAGTAACTAATTCAATTGCTGACCACATTATAATCTGCAGATAATTAAGTCATTAATCATTATAATCTCTTTTTAACGACACTATAATTGAAATGCTTTTAAAGAGTACTTACTGAGCCATAGATCTTTCCTCTCTTGTTCATGGCCAAATAATAATTGCTGTTAATTGCTTTAATAGCCACAACTCCAACTTCCACAGATGTAATTTTCAGTATACCTGAAACAAAACAAAATAATATTATTACTTTCAAGACCACAGCAGGGGTATTTAAGAGAATATAGACTAAATGCCACCAATTGTAAAAAAAAAGATTTAAATATACACTACAAAAATGACATGTTTCTCAAACTGCACGTGTGTTATTTAGGAAAGAATAGTAATTCGAAGTGTTATGGAAATGAAGCTTGGGCAACCTTAACTGCTCCACTGTAAACTCAATTTCTCACAATCACACTTAATTTCCTCACAATGTGATATGAATTTCTATGTCTCACTGTTAGACTGCAGTAAAAGGGGGTGATTTAAAAGAGGGTGTCACAAGTATAGTGGTTGATCTGCAACGATGAATCAATAGAGAATTAAATTTGCAAAGAGAAACCTCTTGCTGCTGCAACGAGACATGATCTCACTGGGCTGAATGGCCTACTTCTGATCCTTTTATCATAGTCTTCTGATCAACAATTTGTCTAATAACAGAAGAAGCAGGTGGGCAGGGCCCCTGCTGAAACTATGTGGATACCTATTAAAAAATTAAAGAGATCACTGTTGGAAGTTCAGAAAAACCAGAATTCAGGTTTGGAGAGGCTGCGTGAGAATGACATCTCCTGCTGTGATTCCATAAAAGACCTCCAGTCTATTGCGTAACTTTCTACAATACTCTACCCTCATTGTTCCTGCCCCATCTTTATCAAAGATCCTCTGCCACTTGGAAACCATAGTGAAGCAGTTGAATTTCCTGATAGTCATGTCCCCTTCCCGTTGCCAATCTGCAAGGTACCTACATGAGCAGCTTGTCAGTACTATGCAAATGAAACTCATCTGTACAAATGTTTGGTGACATCAGCAGTAGCCGATCCTCAATGGGAGCCATCATCAAAAGTCAAGCAATTGCTATGCATGGTGGTTTGTAAATGGAAAATCATCAATAATCATTTTAAGTGGTTATGTTTTTTAAAAAAAGCTAACTGGGAACTGAAGTGAAACTGTTCAAATAGAGGCACAGTTATGGAGTGACTTCATGAATATGCTAACCAAGAGATAGCTGAAGTAAGCAAAAGGTACAATGGTATGTGTTTGTACAGAATTAAGAGACCATTGAACTGCTGAGATCAAACTGTACTTAACACTTACAAGCAAATGCTTGCGGTTCCATTATGTCTGGGTTGGTATCCACATATCTTGGAGATGCTAATTCCAAACCGGCTTCAGAGCATAAAACCTGTTCATCAATCATGTTATGCTTATAAACCTAAAATATTCCCTTTTGAAATACCTTTATGTATTAATGGTCTATTCATGACCCCAAGATGTGATATTGAAAGAAAGTTTAAGATTGGTGGTCAATTATTGCCACAGGTATAATTTTTGCACTGTAAGAAGAAATATTTGGGGACAGATTAAAATTTGCTAGATTAACTACAGGTAGGGATGATCTTCACAGATGGGAATATACTGCTGTGGGTGATTATTTGGACGAGTGTTGTTCAAGCGTTGATGACAGTATTGATTGAAATTGAAGTGTGTAGGATGCTGACCTTTAGAAGTTATCATTGGTATATTATTCAAGTAAAACGTACTGAGTTATGAGCCTTGATCAATTTACCCCAGCAGGCAGGATTCAGGCTGGACTCTGGAATTACAGTGTGAACCACTGACCACATAAACTGAGCATAAAATTACACCCACCATTTCCTCAGTCAAACATTGACTCTCTGACCAACAGGACAATGTCAATCTAGCTTTTTACACTTTGATGAGAATTTCCATCCACCTTAGTAGAAATGATACAACTGGAGTAACTGCGTCAGCCCAATAAACCAGAACTCAATGTTAAATTTGATGTTCTAATGTTCTGATGGAGCAAAACAAAACAGAATGTAAATGATGAAAGGATCAAGCAGCAGATATTATGGATATATGACAATGTGATGTGTTCATTAAATCTGTACTGATTATGATACATTGATAGACATAATATATCAATATCCTTAGTAAGGTTTCAATTTTTAATAAATTTCATAACTGTTCAGCACAGTTTCACATTAGATTGAATGATACGATAGCAATGTTTAAAAGGCATTTAGACAGACACGTGAACAGGCAGAGAATAGTGGAGTACGGACCATGTGCTAACAGATGGGATTAGTTTAGAATGGCCAGTACAAACATCGTGGGCCAAAGGGCCTGTTCCTGTGCTGTATGGTTCTATGTTCTATGTTCAACATAAGTTTGCAACAGAGGCACTGTTGATATGATGAGCAGGCATTTTGATCAAATATTAAGTACATATGGCAAGGCATATTTATTAAATAATTACAAACGAGTAGCAATGAAGGAGTTAAATGTTTATTTACCACGTCCTTCGTCATTTGAGGTTACACTATAGGAGTATGGAGATTATGAGATTTTGGGCTGTTTCATTAATAAGCAGATCGGAGTTGGCCGGCTCTCTGATTATTGTTGCTTCTCTTTTGATGCATAGTGACAAGATATGGGCAAGGACAGGGAGGCAGAATGTCGCTGTTGGTTGCAGCCCCCCTGTGATTCAGTTCCATGGCCTCAAGATTTGTATGTATACTTCCTGCTCACACTGCTGTGCTACTGAATAAACAAGGGCCAAGGTGACTGCTGTCCCCGGGGTGTGAACATCTGCTGCCCAGCTGGTTCCAGCTAAATTGTGGATTAAATTGATTGAATTGAGTCTGGTCTTTATCTTGGCTTGAGTTTTCTTCAGATGTTGATGGCTTGATAAACTACAATCCAGAACCACTCCAAGGTAATTTGGAAAATTGCGTGTTCAGTTGTACAGTAGGGAGCACACAAGGGGTTCTTTGCATGTTGGGAGTTCAAACGCAATGCAGAGACAAGTGTTTCCTGAAGATTTGGACAAAGCTGCCACAGTTTATATTAGTCCTCAAGTCTTCTGAAAGCATGTGTTCTGCTAGGGCAAAAGTTCTCGCTGAGATGGCTATCACTAGGTCATCTGCTCAATCTAAATTTTTCTGACTGAGTCGGCGAGATGAATATGAACAAAATGATGATGCCAAGTCTGAATCATGCAAGGGGGGAAGATGTCAGTCTTCACCTGCTTCTTTCTGCTAAGTGCAACAGCATGAGTGCTGCCATTATCCAAGAGACCAAATGGCCATTGATGGACGAAGCACTCAGCTCCATTTCACTATGAATATTACAGTTAACAGTCCCCTGGTTTATGACAACTAGGTCATTGTCTCTGCAGCATTGAACATCAGGACCCTGTGGAATCCCCATCATTACAAACTCCCAGGGGATTGCCCTGGCAATTAAAGATATCGCCGGGCAACTCTCCTTCTCTTGGAACTCTCCCACAATATCCAATTAAATCTGGGAATTCAGATTGCGCAGCTGCAGTTAACTACATAGGTAGTTGTAGGTTAAAAATCAAGTATAACTTCTGGGTAACTATTAGACTGACACCCATTCAACATATCACACATACCCTCGACTACAGCTTCCCCAGGTTCCTTACACTGATTCATGAAGGCAGTGGGCTGTATAATGAAACCTGAAAATGTAACATAGCTGTAGACTTTGAGGGCCTGTTTGTGGGGAGTTCTGCAATCTGCAAAGCCGAGAGCTCTAGCTTGCTTCTTCGGATTGTGGAATATAATAGAAGTGCTCGCTTTTTAGAAGCATGGCCTCAGTCACCTGTTTAATGCAAACATGAACTGCAGATTGACTGGAGTTACTGATATTCCCTGTGACAATCTGAAAGGACCCTGAGGCAAGGGAGTTCAGGCTGCAGTGACCTTGCCCGGTATAGTTGGTCATGCCAGAAGGATTCCATTAAGAAAAAAGTGCAAGACCAGTTGCCCCTTGAGATTTCACTAGGCTGTGTAATCAGTAGAGCAGCAAAACAAAACTACATAATTTAAACTAAATATCTCCCCAAAACTTTCAGCATTTTACCAGGGAGTAGCTGAGGTGCCGGCTGAACTTGTACCACCTGTGCATTGTGGATGCAGGCTAGGAGCTAGCAATGTGAGAACGGTTTAAAGGGTGCCAACTAAAAGCAACTGATGATATTGGCACATGTTAACCATGGCTCCACTGAGGAACCCTGGCACCAACATTGAGGGCCACCTGAATATTGAATAATCACGTGTCCCATGAACTTCCTTTTCTGCTACTGTCCTGTTTTTTTTTAGATATAAATGGTTTGATAACAAGGTAAAAATTACCCCCATTAATTCCTTGGCATAATAACCAATAACAGTTTTAAGAAAACCCAAGTCTGCTTTCTAGTACAACATGACTGGCCACTTCAGCATTTACAGACGCTGAGAGATGGACATAATTTGAAGCCCCATCCCAACTCTGGTGGAAACTACAATGGAGCGAAGCACTGCTCCTCCGCTTTCCTATATGGTTTAGAAGATACATAGTAACAACACCCATGCAAATTTGGATGAATTTAAATGTTTCATTTTTAAAGAATTTGCTTTTGCGCTAGGAAGAATAGAAGCACCCAACATATTTGACTTCTGATTATGAATTGGGGGACATATTCAGATAATGGCACTGTGTCATTTGCATCACAAAATGACCATTTAAAATAGCTTTCATTAAATGCAAAATGAAACTAAAAAAAGCTTCTTTCTCGGATTCCACAAATCCACTTGCTCACTGGTTATTTGATGGATTGGTTTGCTGTGTTTTTGGTAAATATTCAGTGAACCATTTGCTGTACTTTACCTTCTGATTTACTTATCTGCTGATAAATTAGATGCAGGTAGCACACAAACTAAATTCTACACTGACAATGTGATTTTCTTTATTCATGTATTCATAGTTTCCAGGAATTCCAATCAAATGCAAGCAAATAGTAAACTTTCAGTTGAAGTCATGAGGAAAGACACTGAGTGGGTAATAACAGTTTTAGTTAATGGTTTATCTTTGCCCTCCTTAAGGCACACATTCTACAGACAAAAGAACTGCAAATGCTGGAATCCAAGGTA